TAAAAAAAAAAAAAAAAAAAAAAAAAAAAGACAAATGAATGATCATTGCTAAGAACCCAGCTTCAGAGCCAAGGGGGGGATGACCATCATAAGAGCTGAGAGGCCATAAAATTCCCTCTGCCTTGAATATGCTTGGTGCAGCTAGCAGAATGTCAGTGCTCAGAAATGCTCAGGGGCTTTTTCTAACCCAGGAGGCAGACCACCCCCCACCAAGCTAGGAGAGGTAGATTTCAGTTCTCCTTCTGGTTGAGGGCAAGGGAAGAGGCAGAAAGACCTGAACTGGATTCTCCACCCTCCCTGCCTGCCCTTAGGAGCGGGTTCCGGCCATGAGCTATGTCTCCATCGTGGCCATCTTTGGTTTTGTGGCATTCTTTGAGATCGGGCCTGGCCCCATCCCCTGGTTCATCGTGGCTGAGCTCTTCAACCAGGGACCTCGCCCAGCAGCCATGGCTGTGGCTAGCTTCTCCAACTGGACCTGCAACTTCATCATTGGCATGGGTTTCCAGTATGTTGCGGTAGGTCCCCCACCCCTGTCCCAACCTCCTACACCTAGGCTACTCCCTCACTCATCAGGGATCCCCCACCCCAGCCACAGAAACAATTGGTTTTTGAGTCACTTTGGTGGACAACCAGAATCAAGAAAAGAAGAGCTGAACTAGATCAGATAGCAACAGAGATGTCTTCAAAACACACCAGTGGCACAACTTATAAACCTCAAAATAGTACTACAAATGGCTGGGAATCTCCTCTGAGTGCAGTAATTCAGGATGGTGAGGAGAGTGAAAAACTAAAGAAGAGTTGGGATTCAGAGAATCCTTTCTTCAGTGTAAATTCTTGTTCCTGGTCATTTTCCTTGCTCCTTGAAGGAGCTGTCTGCCGTCTGCAGTATCCCCAGCTTCCTGTGAGGGTCTTTAGTTCCTGGCTTGCCTGAGACCACCCTTCCCTCTCCACCCCGCCCTGTCAACACACCTTCTCCACCCGTCCCAGGACGCCATGGGCCCTTACGTCTTCCTTCTGTTTGCGGCCCTCCTGCTGGGCTTCTTCATCTTCACCTTCTTAAGAGTGCCTGAGACCCGCGGCCGCACGTTCGACCAGATCTCCGCCACCTTCCGCCGGACGCCCTCTCTTTTAGAGCAGGAGGTGAAACCCAGCACGGAACTGGAGTACTTAGGGCCAGATGAGAATGACTGAGGGGCAAAGCAGGGGTGGGAGAGCCAGCTTCTCTTCCTCCCTGAGACCCCTCCTTTCCTCTGCGGCACTTTAGCCCTCTCCTCCCCATTACTTCCAGGGTGGGGACGACCCCTGCAGCCTGGCAGAGTGGGGAAGCTAGAGGGAAGGGTGGTCTGAGCACCCCGTCATTCCCCTTGTGTGACTCTCGGATTATTTATGTGTTGTGGTTAGGCTGTGGACATCAGGGTGGGCCATTCCCCCCTCCCCCTTCCTCCCCACCCCCACCGTGACTCAGCTCCAGAATACTTTTGTCTCCTGCTAGGGAAGGGGGATTGGAGGGAGGAAAAGCTCTGGACTTTTTCAGTGGGAAAAACTGAAGGAGAGAGCAGGATATGAACCAAGAAATCGAGTTTCCCTCCACCTTGGACTCCTCCCATGGACTCGGATTTCCACTGAATTCTTGCCACATAGACTCTGGGTGAAGGGGGTTCTGTCTCGACCCCTCCAGGGCAAAGGACGCACCCTCCCAAAGTCTAAACTCTCTCCCTGCAGGCTCAGCCTTCCAGGGTGAGAGGGAACACAGAAGTACATGTCCCGCTATGGCAAGAGGAAAGGGACAGCAGGCTCCTGCCTGTAGACTTAGGACCTGGGGCCCTACCCCAATTGCTCCCCAAGGCTGCCAAGTAGGGACCCCAGCTCTTTCTTCTCCCATTCTGGAAGTGCACTGTACCCCACAGGCTGTTGACCAACTAAGGGAAAGGGGATCTGAAAGGTTGCCTGTAAACACTGGGCTGGGAGGAGCCTTGGGATATATTTGTATATGTTTGAAAAGGGGGTAGAGAGAAAGCAAAGGTCTGTTGTACTAAATGTGTATATATAGATACCTCTATAAAGTCACTGTATGAAAATGAGTGTCCTGTCATGGAGGCACTCGAAGAATGGCTGAGACGGGGACCATGACTCCTACACCCCCTTTGTCCTGCCTCAACTCAAGGCCTCAAAATCCTCTGAATGCTGTCACTCACGCCCCAACTTATGCTTCTATTTATTGCTTTAATTAGTAAGTGCTCAAATTATAGCTGCACGTGCCAGACACTGCTCTCGGCACTCTACAAAATACTCTGCAAGGGAAGCATCACCCATTTTACAGATGGGGACAGTGAGTCCCAGCAATGAAAGCACTTGTTCAGAGCTGCACAGCTAGAAACACTGGAGCAAGGACCCAGGGCCAGGTCCCACCGGCCGCCCACATCCTCCTCAGCCAGCATTGAGTTGCCAGCCATTCTCCATTCTCCCAAACGGAAAAGAGGTAGAAACCAAGACAACAGGAAAGCCTGTTTTTGTTTTTTTACTGGAGGCTCAGGTGGCACATGACAGTTCATGAAATGGCTTCACAGGTAGGGGGTCGAGGGGAAACAAAAAATAAACTGGGGTGGGAAAGAAAAACAACCAGGAGGAGGTAAGAGCTGGCTGGTTCCTTCGCAGCCTGATTTAGGGAAGGGAGTTGGTGCCTCTGAACAGTAAGTTGATCCCTTCCTTCAACCCTTGGTAGGGGAGGGAAAAAAAGCAAAAGGCTGTTGCTTTGGCCCTCCTGAGTCTCAAGGAAAAGGGGAAAAGCCAGTGTTTTGATGTCAAGAATTATGGTTAAGGGGGAGGGGGTTGCTGCGTAGGGTACAGGTCAGTTGGAAAAACTGGCAGATACCTGGGAGAGAAAAAGAAACAGACAAATCATGAATACAGCAACTTATCATCATGACCCAGTCCCCTGCCTTCTTGGCCACCTGGCCTAAGTGTGGCAGCCACTCACCAGATGGTAGCTCTGGGTGTCCTTTGAGTTGGAATCACTCCAGTATGGTGAGGGGGGGGTCCCCACTGTTGATAGGGGCTGAGGTCTAGATAGAGCAGCAGTGGCCAATTGAGACTCTTGGTCTTCAGAGCACACAGCTTCAATCTTCCACCTTTTATCTTCCCATTCCTCTCCCCAACCAATTCCCCCAATTTACATCCACAAGCTGGTGCTGTGGCCCCAAGCAGAGCTGAGAGAGTAAGTCTGCAGGGGGTGGCCTAGGCTTGATTGCCTCTACTAGTGTTTCCTGGTGGGTGGGGGTGCCTACCAGGGGTGGGTCCAGCAGGCTGCATGGATGGGGGAAGGGTGGGGGAGAACCGGGGGAGGGAGAGTAAGAAAGGAAGGGAAAAGAAAAGGACAGAGAGGAGGAAGTTGGTCCCAGGCTCATCTTTCATCCTACACCAAGGTCCTCACCTCTGGGGCTGTGGGCTGCCGGGGTCCAGGGGGCTGCTGCCGTCGCCGCTGGAAGTAGGGGCGGTTTCGTGGGCGCTGGGGCTCAGGCCGGGAACCATCGGTGGGGCCTTGGCTAGGCTTGGTCTCACCATCCCCACCTTCTGTGGTAGGCTGCTGGGGTGGCCTGGGACGGAAAGGCCTAGGGAGAAAAGCAGGGACCCTGAAGCAGCCAGGGAACCCAAGACAAACTGCCACCTTCCCTCCCTCCCCAGCTTCCCCATCCCCACCTCCAAGAGCCAGGATTCCAGCCCCATGAGTGCCTGCTTCCCTCCAGGCACCTCTCTCACCTTCAGCTTCAGGCTCTGCTTAGAAGGCATTCCCCTTCCCATCCTCCTGCCCTCTCCCCACGGACCAACACTGGATGGAGAAGGGGAAAACAGAGCCCCAGAAAGGGAACCTTACCTCCGGTACCTGGGCCGGAATCTGGGTGGGGGGACCCGCTCATCTCCCTGCTGTTGGTCCCCCTCCAATGGGGCTATCTCTTTGGGTTCTACCCCATCAGTGCCCTGGGAACATGCAGAGACCTGGGTGAGCTGTGGGAACCCCACTGCTCAGGAGCCAGGTTTGCCACAGCTCTTCCCAACCCTCGGTTCCATTTCCTTTTCCAGAAGCTCACCTCTATAGGCTGCTGCTGGTTGGGGGGCCGAGGGCCTCGCACAAACCGCCGACGGTAGAAAAAGGGTGGCGGGCGCCGTCGTCTGGGCCGCTGCCCAGAATCTTCTGCCCGCTCCCCTTCACTGCCAGGTTCTGCCCCACCCGAGGGAGACTCGGCCACCATGGGTGGTGGGGCAGCCGGGCGAGGCCGGGGGATGAACCGGCGGAACCTACGTCGATTGGGGGCATAGCGGCTGCCCTTCACTGGCACCCCCCCAGGCCCAGTTACATTAGCAGCTTCTGCGCCCTGGGAAGGTGGAGAGGGAAGTCATGACTTGCTCCAAGGATAGATGCACAGCATCCCCAGCCTGGCTTGAATCACTGGAGTCTTCCCCTTCTTCCAGCTAAAGTCCCCTCTCCAGCTTTCCTTTAGCTCCGCTAACTTCAGTTTCTTCTTACCCTCCCCCAAGGGCAGTGTTTGTACCTATCTGAGAAGGAGCCACTTGCCCTTTTGAAATAACTGCACCCTCCCGAGTTTAAGAGCGGGGAGAGGGGTGCAGAATGTCTGGCAGAGGGCTGACTCTGAGAAAATTACTGCTGGGGACAGGGCCCCCCCATACGAAGAACAGAAATGGAAGTGCTTAGGGAACTACAGAGAAGAAACTCAGATACTGACCGATGACAAGGACATGTTCTTTAGGACATCCCTTAGAGCAGCCCTAGCATTAAGGAAGACATCTGGATGAGAGAACACAGTCCCATTCCCATGGCCAGAGGCAGAGCTGGCCCCAAGAGGGTCAAAGCGTGGGATGATCTCCAGGCCACTCTCCCACAAGTCTGGCCAAGTCTACACCCCACAGCAGTCCCCAAACCTTCTCTCCTTCCACGACATCAAACTCCACAGTCTCTCCATCTCCAACGCTGCGCAGAAACTTCCTGGGGTTGTTTCTTTTAATAGCTGTCTGATTGGGGGAAAGGCCATGAAAAGGTGAGGGTGGCAAGACATTAGTCTCTCACCCCTGCTGGGGCCGCCACCCGATCTCATTCTTTTCAACATTTTACTTGTGGTCTGGGGCTGGAGGAAGGAACAAGGAGAAGGTAGTCAAAGTTTAGTGGGGGAAACTAGGGGCCTCTGGAACTGTGCTGCGGTTAACACTGTCCCCAGGACACACTCCCTCCCACCTTTACCCCTCAGGGATTTCTAAAAAGGGAGGAAAGAAATTTGAACTCAAGCAAAACAAAAAGCAGAGACTGTCTTAAGTTACAAAGTGGGTAAAATGTACTGTGCTTCTTACCTCAGTCCCACTGAGAGCTCTTTCACCACAGCAGTGGTTCTCAAACTGTAGCGTGCATCAGAATCACCTGGAGAGCTTGTTAAAACAGACTGCTGGGCCCCAGCCCCAGGTCTGATTGATTCAGTAGGTCTGGAGTGGGGCCTGAGAATTTGGATGTCAGGTGATGCTGCTGCTACTGCTGGTGCAGGGGCCACACTTTGAGAACCACTGCACCCAAGTATCTCTAGCCTGCATCCTTTCCCTTTGAAAACTGCCTGATTCCTTCCTGCAGTGTTCACAGGTCCCAGTAGGTAGTGAGCGTGCCATACTCAGAGGGCAACATGCACAATTTTGACAGCCGTTCAGTAACCCAACATAAGTGGGGGTTAATGGAGGTTGATATGGGCACCTGGAGCAGATGGGGAGGGGAGCTATTTCCTGGTGGGCAGGCCATTGTGAAGGAAAAGCTGGAAAATGAGCATGCTACTAAGGATAATGGCAAGGGCCTTCAAAGAAAGGGCCAGTCCCTCCCCTCAGAAAGCCAACCTAGCTCTTACCTGGTGAACAAAGACATCCTCCTTGGTGTCATTCCTGCAGAACAGGATGGGTGGTTAAAGAAGTGACTTTGGTAAGGTGCTCGGCTCCACCGAGGCCGCCCCAGCTGCCCATTCTTAAGATCAGTGGATCCATCCTCTCTAGCATTCCACAGTTACTTGGGGGCAGACAGGGCCCCCAGAAGCTGGTGTAAAAAGTACACCTAAAACCCTAGTGAAAAACCTGGCCTTCAAGAGGAAAGGGCAAAGGCACCTTGAAGGAGCTGGAAGAGCCCTTTACCTGCTGAGTGCTCCACCTTCTACCCCAGGGGCACCTTAGAACCTGCTGGTGCTGGGTGGAACTGCCCCTGGCCAACACCCCTCCTCCCCCAACCCCCATCCGGGTTGGAAAATTCCACTGTCTCCTTCCTTTAACCCTCAAGGAGGGACAAAGTGGGAATGGGGCAAGCTTGAGAAGGGGACAAGTTATCAGGAATTCGTTCCAAACAGCCACAAAACCTTATTCTCACCCTCAGCCTGGAGATGAACCCAGTGTCAGGCCCCCTCACCAAGGGTGACAGAGAAGAAAATACTCACCCATTCTCTACCGCTACCTTGCCTATTTACCCTGGTTTATCCTAGAACCCCAATGAGCTGGGAGGTGGGGAGAGGTTTTCCTGGAGCAACTCCCCCTAGGATTTGCAGAACTAGAGAGGGACCATTCCCCAGAACAAATGTTCTAGCTTTAAAGCACTTGGATCTGCACAAAGGTCAGCCTGCTAAGAGGGAACTAAAGCCTTCCAAGAGGGCTAGGCTGGGCAGGGTGCCCAGGCTGGGGATGGGCCCACTGGGGGAGACCTGGCTCTGCTCAGAATCCACCACTACTGCCTCTCCCAATGCTGGAAGGGGTGGGGCTGCCAACTCAAGGAAAGTAGCAGCTTCTGGTTGGCCTAGCTCCTCCTCCCTCCCCCCCAGCCTCAGTCCCATCAGGTGGGAGAGTCAAATGAGTCACAGCCCTTTCAGGGAGATGAGTTGTGAGGGTGCTCTGAGTGCTGCCCTTAACAGGAAATCAGTGAGGATTCCAGCCCCGAGCCCTGAGGCGCAGAGAGCCCTGTACATTCTGCCCCAAAGGCACGGCAAACTAAAAATAATGAGGCGATTCTAGAAGGTGAGACAGAGAAGCTGCGAGAGTCAGAGCCAGGTTTGCC